CAATCCCTCCTCCATTCTCCTCTCTGGATCTTGGGCATGCATGCATATGTGCCTGGCGTGAGTTTTAAGCTACCCGGTCCAGTATTCAAACCACAGTCAACTACGTGAGAGTCCAGCGATTTAACCATTAGCCATCTGCTGGTCCCAAATACGGCTTTTTAAAAAACCCACAAATCCCACTTTTTAAAAATAGTGGTAATTTCCTAATATAATTTACAGTGTCCTGTTACCTCTTAAATTTTGAAAAAAAGTAACAATTTAAGTTAAGATCCAAATAGGTCTAAGTATTATATTGCTTGATGTATTTCTTAACTATACTTTCATCTGTAGATCCTCTGCTTCTCCCTTTTTTAAAAAATAATTATTTTATTTATCATTATTAGTATTTTTTAAAGAATTATTTTATTTAACTTTATTTATTTATTTGTTTGTTTATTTTAATTTGACCAGAGAGGGACAGAGCGAGAGAGAGAGAGAGTGAAAGGGAAAGTGAGAAAGCAAACTGCCAGGTCCAGGATTCGAACCGCAGTCTGCCACGTGGGAATCCAGCACCCTTAACCACCACGCCACCTGCCAGCCCCATCATTATTAGTATTTTTAAAGTTAGAAAGAAATCCACAGGGTCTGGGATTTGAACCACAGTTGGCCATGTGGGAATCCAGCTTTAACTACCACATCACCTGCTAGCCCTCCTCCCCCCCCCTTTTTTTTAAAAAAAATAGTTTAAAAAAATTTGCTAAGGGTATGTGTGCTTGTGGGGAGGGGGAAATGAGAAAGCACCTGGGGGCAGGTCACTTTTCAATCCATTCTCCATTCTCACAATTTTTGCCATGTGTGCACATATTCTTGACTTGTTTCTGCAGCTGCTGGGTCTGAGACTCAAACCACATAGTCAGCTGTGTGGGATATAGCCAATTATATATATATATATATATATATATATATATATAGAGATGAGAAATCACGCCCCAGGGGTGATTTTGGGCATGCATGCACACGTGCCTGGCATGAGTTTTAAGCTGCCAGGTCTGGGACTTGAAGCGCAGTCAACTACGTGGGAGTCCAGCCATCTGCCGGTCCCGGGATATAGCTGCTTTAACCACCACTGGCCTCATCTTTTAAAAAAAATCTATAAAAGAGTAAGAAGGGGCCAACAGGTGGTGTGGTGTTTAAGGCGGTAGACACTCCCACATGGCCTACCATGGTTTGAGTCCTGGACCTGGTGGCTTACTTTCTCATTTTCCCTCTCTCTCTCTGTCTCTCTCTCTCTGGTCAAATTAAAATAAATGAATGAATAAATAAAATTAAATAGTTCCTTAAAAAAAAAGAGAGAAAGAATCTGAGTCATTTCTGTTGTGGATTTTTCTCTCATCTTAGATTTGATTTGACTGATTATATCTCTGTTGTGTCTTTTAAAGTATTTTGATATCCCTTCTATTTTATATAAATTGCTATTTAGATCTAAAATCTTGATTAGGTTCAGGTTTAATGTTTTTTGGCACAATATTCAGATCATGGAGTGTGTGCTTTCCACTGTATCACATTCAGTAAGCACTTGGTGTCTGGTTGGTTCTTTTTGTGATGTTAAAATTGGTCACTGGGGGGCCAGTAGGTGGCATGGTGGTTAAAGGTGCTGGATTCTCACATGGCCGACCACAGTTCAAGTCCTGGACTTGATGGCTTGCTTTCTCCCTTTCCCTTTCTTTCTCTCTGTCTTTCTCTGATCAAATTTATAAAATAATGCAACAAATGGAATTAAATAAATAATTCTTTTTTAAAAAAATGGTCACTGGGAGGGTGGGCAGTTGGAGTGATGGTTAAAGGCGCTGGACTCCCACATGGCCAACCATGGTTTGGGTCTCAAACCTGGTGGCTTCATTTTTCACGTTCCCTCTCTGTATATCTCTCTGTGGCCAAACTGGAAATAATAATAAATAAAGTTAAAATAATTCTTAAAAATAAAAATTGGTCATTGGGTTCAGGCCATGTATACCTTATAAAATGATCCCATCAGCTTTCATGTAAAGATTTTGGGAGCCATTATTGCTCACTGCCTAGATCCATTATTTTTGTTTTCTGGAAGAAAAGGCTGCATCTGTTTAAAAGTAAGCTACGAATATATTCAAGAGAAACAACTAGAAGCCTGCTATTCAAGACTGTCTAACAACTTGGCCCCATCTTATTTCTCTAATTTATTCACTCTTGATTACTCTATAATATCTGAATGTTACAGAATTTAGATTGGTCTTTGGACCTTCCCCAAACATTTAAATTCTCACTTCCAGTCTTCTTCACAATGTCTTCCCAGCAGAAAAATGCATATTTTTTAAAAAAAATTTTTAAAGTTTAACCATTTATTTCCTCCAACACATACGTTTGTGTGTACACACATCCCCGAAAGATTCCCAACTAGAGAGCAGTTGAGGCAATCTACTTCCAGCCTCAGCAGCCAGGACCACAGGCACACTTGCACCCACCTGGTGTGGACAGAGAGATCTGGCATGTGTTCTCCAGCTTGGCAGAGTGCCATCACCACTGTACACAAGGACTAACCTGAAATGTTCACTGTTCACTCTCTTCTAATCTAGTTTTTGTTTTTTTTTTTTAATTTCAGAAATTTTTTGCCATAGGGCATTTTCATGTGCCAGAGAAAAGGAAAGGCAGAGACAGTGAGAGGGAACGTGAGAAACATTCCCCAAAGGGGCTGGCCATGCTGCAATCCCTTCTCCTCCATTCTCTTCCTGGGATTTTAGGCACACATGCACATGTGCCCTGCACAAGTTTCAAGCCACTGAGTCCAGGACTCAAACTGCGGTTGGCCATGTGAGAATCCAGCAGTGCAGCCGCTACATCTGCTGGCTCCCTAGTTCTTTTAACATGTGCCTTAAGTCCTTAGGAGGTCTTCTAATTTCCCCAGCCAGAAACAGTCTCTCTTGTGGCATTTTTAAGCCCCTTTTTACAATCTTACCATTTAAGATGCACAGATTATATTATTAGATATACCCAGTATTGTAATTACTTATTCCGGTGGTAGGTTCACAGTTTAATATAATCTCCTTGGGGATGGAGACAGCCTCCTGTATCTTCCTGGTTCCTAACTTGATACCTTAAGAATTTGTTAGCCATGGACCAGCAGTAGTTGGGACGCTGGATTCCAGTGTGGCCAACCGCAGTTCAAGTCCTGGACCTGGTGTCTTGTTTTCTCACTTTCCCTCTCTCTCGCTCTCTCTCTCTCTCTTTCTGTCTCTGGTGAGCAAACATGCCCTATAGAAAATTAAAATAATAATAATAATAATTAATTAATTTTTTTAAAAAGGAAACTTGTTCAACCATCTTTCCCCAACTCAACTGTGAAACTGTTGAGGGCAGGAACCACAATTTAAGGGCATTTGTAATGGCAATGTTAAGCATCTAGAAGGTACACAGTAAATGTTTATTGGATAAATGAGTGAATATATGTATGAAAAAGCTTGTTCCTGGTAAGCATATGGATTTTTGTGAAGAGCTGTTTATAATCATTGTGAAAAAGATTTGTCTCTAGATATTTGATTTGTCCCTAGTTTATATAATTTGTATCTACTTTCATATATTTTGCCATATTCTTTCCCATCAAAGTATCCTCTTAAATGTTCTCTTTTTCTCTTAATAAAGCAAATCCATCAATGAATGATTTTTATCCCAAATAAAATGTTAGTCTCCTGTATTAGTACACATCCCCACAAAATTCTAAGGAAAAGAAAATAGATTAAAACATACTGCCTTTTATCTAGGCATACTCCCCCTATTAATGACTTTGGACATTTGACTTTTCTTTTTCTGTACATGATAATTAAAAAATTATATTGTGATTTTTCCTTGTTTAAAACTTTACTAGTGTGGGCCAACAAGTGGCATGGTGGTTAAGGTGCCAGATTCCAGCATGGCTGACTGCAGTTCAAAGTCTGGCCTGGCAACTTGAAAATCCCAGCAAATAGATAAGATAAATAAATAAATAAATACATGTTTTTTTTAATAAATGTATTTGTGGGTTATTATGATTAAATTTAGTATTTACTTTCTTTCAGCCTGCTTGAATTTCCTGAAGTTGTGCAAAATAAAATATTACAATTATTGCCTCATTCACAGTGTACAGGTGAGTTGATGAATGTTAGTTATGTCCTGTATTATTAGAATCATCTAGCAATCTCTATGAATTAACAAGGAATCTTTTATGTTATAGAGGGATTTTATCATACAAACTGGTGATCCTACAGGGACCGGCCGCGGAGGAGAGTCTATTTTTGGGTAAGTTCTTTTAGTTTTAAATGAGGAAAGATGGAATTGCTCATGTGTCTATCTGCATTTAAAATATGTTCAAATATGGGCCGTCCCCCCCCCCCCAAGTTCTCTAATCTATAGCAAAAAAGGAATACTGAATTATGGTGATATTTCTATGAAGAGTTGATAACCCTTTGTATTACTAGTACTTCTGTGTTTCATTTTGAGAGTACTTATATTTTATAACATTATTGTATGTATTTTCAGTCAGCTGTATGGTGATCAAGCAAGCTTTTTTGAGGCAGAGAAAGTACCACGAATTAAACACAAGAAGAAAGGTACCGTGTCCATGGTGAACAATGGCAGTGATCAGCATGGATCTCAGGTTAGGAAACGGGTGAGAAGCCGAGCTTTGCTTAGATACAAAGGCCCAGGGGACCAGCAGATGGTACAGTGGTTGTATTGCTGCGCTCCCATGTGGCCGACCACAGTTTGAGTCCTGGATGACTTTATGCTCATGCGGGGATGTGTGTATGCATACCCAAAATTCCAAGAGAAAAATGGAGAAGGGATTGCAGTGTGGTCATCGCCCTGAGGGGTAATTTCTCTCTTTCTGTCTCTCTGGTGAGTTCACGCACCCTATAGCAAAAATCTCTCCTTTAAAAAAAAAAAAAGAAAGAAATGAAGGACCAGAGGAACCCACAAAATTCCCTCTCTCCCCCATCTCTCTCTTTTTTAGTTTCACTGTAGTTTGTGTTTGCTTGCCAGAGAGAGACAGAGATGGAGAGGGAAAGTAAGAAATTGCCCGAGATGGTCATTCCATAATCTCTGCTCCTTTACTCTCTTCAGGATTTGGGGCATGCACATACACATACAGGTGCACACATACTTCATGTGATTTTCAAACCACCATGTCCAAGACTCTAACCATGCCATCAGCCATGTGGAATATGGCATGTTAATCTCTTTGTCTCCTGCTGGCCCCCAAATTCTCTTTTAAAACTACACAGTAAAGAGAAGATGTCAAAGATATTTGTTAAGAGGGGAAAATTACACTATTTTTCTCTATATTAAAAAGGCCATTATTTTGTTCTTTTAAATGTAAGGCACGCCCAAGGGCCTGCCTTGTAGCCTGGTGGTTAAGAAGGCCAGATCCCACATGGCTGACCACAGTTCAATCTTGGCCCTGGTGGCTTTAAAATCATAGTGGATGTGCGTGTGTGTGTATATCACATGCATACTCAAAATCTCACATGATGGAGAAGTGGAGAAGGGATTATGTGTGAACCATGTCCCATTGTAAGGGTGCTTTCTTCTCTGTCTCTCTGTCACTCTACTGAGGACACGTGTCCTCTGAGAATTAAAAAAATACATATGCAGGCCGGCAGGTGGCATGGTGGTTAAAAGTGCTGGATTCCCACATGGCTGACCATAGTTCGAGTCCCAGACCTGGGAGCTTGCTTTTTTACTTTCCCTCTCTTTCTCTGTCTCTCTCTGGTCAAATCGAAAAAAATAATAATAATAAAAAATGGAATTAAATAAATAAATAAATCTTTTATATGCATGTGTGTATGTGTGTGTGTGTGTGTGTGTGTGTGTGTGTACATATATACACACATATATACAATATACACACAAGCCATGCCAATTACAAGGAATTTTTTAAAAAAAGGAAAGTAGAAAGAAGAAAATAATATTACCCCCAATCCCACCACCCATGTTCACATTTATGGCCCATTTCCTTTCTGTATTTATTTCTTCTTTTAAAGCAGACTGTGGTGAGTACCTTCTACTTATTGTTTTGTCATTCTTACAACTCCAGTGGGGTAGGTGCCTTCCTCCTCCACTTTTATACATGAAGCAGCTGAGCCATGACTTAGCCAAGTATTGTAAGTAATCAAGGGAATGTCTATGTTGGTATTTTACATATAAACTTTGTATTTTCTTACTTAGTTCCGGTAACAAGTGTAGAAGAATTGGTGTAGCATAGGTAGAGAATAACATTGGTGGTTTTTTTTGCCAGCATATAACTGATTTTATGAGTTAATGCATATTTTGAAAAATATTATGTTTCTTCATATACAGTTTCTCATTACTACTGGAGAAAATCTGGATTATCTTGATGGTGTTCATACAGTGTTTGGTGAGGTGACAGAAGGCATGGACATAATTAAGAAAATTAATGAGACCTTTGTTGACAAGGACTTTGTACCATATCAGGATATCAGGTGTGGCTACAGTTTTCTCTCTAAATGTACTAAAATGTTTTAATTCTATGATGTTCAACATGTAGCTTTATTGGATGGGACCAATATGCACAAGATCAGTTTTTGAATTGTTCCAAAATGTTAATATAAGACTGTATGGGCCCTTATAATAAAAAGGATCTTTTGAATTTTTAAAAAATAATTATTTTATTTATTTATTTATTTATTTATTTA